CTAATGATATTCCTGTTTTTTAACTCCCAGTGTTACTTTTAATAACACTGAAAAATAAACATTGAAAACCTAAAAAAAAATATGTGGTCAACGCATGTTTAACTGGGGACCCCCTCGAAACGCAATTGGGCTAGTCTTGAGTAGCGATTGGGTGGGTTTCTTTGTGAAAACCTGACAACCCTGTATGTGGCCTATAAACAATTGACATATGGGGAGGGGTCAGATAGGTACAGTGCGCATTAGCATGTATTTTGAGACACTTTTAGGGATGCCAACTACAGAAAATTAAAATACGGGACAGTCACCTTGAGGGGGGAGTGACCGTGTATACACACACACACATATAGTATGCATGAAAATGCGTATTTTTCAATTAAAGAGCGTATAGATTTAATATGGGCTGCTTTTGGTGCTTGACACCTTGTTATTGGTCATTTTGTTTCAAGAATAAGGCCCATGGTTAAGAATTATGCTATTACTTAAATATAAAATGTTTTTCTCTATTTAACTACATTACAATAGTGAAAGATGACTTCCCTTAATGATCACGTCTCTTGCGCGGCGGGATGTTGGACTCATGAAAAATAATCACGTAGTTTGTATTCACAAAAACTGATTTACAGAAGTGAAAACACGGACGGAATTGGCGTTAGCGCGAGCGCCGCTTGCTGTGAGGCGGGAGCGACGAGCCGGCAGAGGATTGCGCAGCATTCCTCGAACAGTTATGTTCACGAGTTCTGATTTAACGTATACTGCGTGAGGGGGGCTGTAATTGGATGACGACAGGTATCGGTGATCATTCTCAAGTGATCAGCACTGCTGCTGTTGTATCAGTCAGTGGTTAGATCAGCGTAGCAGTCAAAAAACGGGACAAGGGAAGTCACGTACGGGACAAATCAATTAGGCCCAAAATACGGGATGGTTGGCAACCCTAGACACTTTGTAGATGAGAACAATGACACAAGTCGACAGTCTCAAGCCCTGTCTACACTAGTGCGTTTTCGTTTTAAAACGGTGTTTTAAAATTACTGTCCTCCTCTGCTATCAATCACTAGAATTTTATGTGGAAGATACACAGTTACAACTTCTGTGGGGTGTGAAGAAAAAGTAATGTAACTAGTAGCAAAGACTATAGAATATCCAAGACGTGTCACTCGTATAGTTTTGAATGGGGAAAAATGCAACGCTCAATATGACCACTCTATCGAAGGAAGCCCCGCCTTCTGAATAAAAGAGCCAATCGTTAATCGGTAAAGTCATCACGTCACTGCAGCTGCAGTAGAGACCTGCACTCCTGCGGGAGTACCGCGGGACCCAACACAACAGGGTGCGGCGCGGGACAACTCTTGATGGGCGAGTGCAGGTGCGGGTGGGAAGAGACTTGTGTGTGTGCAGGATGCGGGAGAATAAAATGATTCGCGGGACTCCCGCAAAATAGAAA